CAGATGATTGGCTAGCCGCTAATGTACGTGGATCACCAGAATTGACGTCCCGGGCTTCCAGGAGGTAGAGTCCGTCGTACATTTGGTACATCCATCTTTGCAGGCGTATTCGCAGCTGGAATATGTGATCTTGTCATGCGCGCTAGATCGGTGAAAGCATCTGGCATGCTCTGAGCTATGCTCTGGAGATCTAATATGCGCTGCACTTCAGCTTCAGACTGAGCGGTGCGGGGATCTAAAATGAGACAAAGTGGGAGTCGTCCACGATAATTCGCGTCGTTCATTAGGAACGTTGACGTTCTTATCTCCCCCTAACGACGGGAAGACTGTCTCATAGAAGTGACAATCCGCGAAACGAGCGGTAAACAGATCGCCTGTCAAAGGTTCTAAGTAACGAATAATCGAAGGAGAATCATATCCGACATAGATTCCTATCCTTCGCTGAGGCCCCCATTTTTGTACTTAAGGGCGGCGAGATCGGCACATAGACCGCACAACCAAAAACGCGCAGATGCGATATGTCGGGTTCGCATCCGGTGACCAACTGAAGGGCACTAAATGGTTGTGTCGCAACAGGCCTCAGGCGGACCAACTTTGCTGCGTGCAATATTGCATGGCCCCAAGCAGCGATCGAGAGCTTGGTACGTATGACTAACGATCGAGCAATCATTTGTAAACGCTTAATGAAAGCCTCTGCCAGGCCGTTCTGGGTGTGAACATGGGGTACAGGATGTTCAACTTCAACCCCAACCGACATGCAATAGTCATCAAAAGTTTTAGATGTGAATTCTCCAGCATTATCCAATCGAATAGATTTGATCGGATAATCAGGGTGGTGAGCCCTGAGCTTGATAACCTGAGCCAACAGTTTGGAGAATGCAGCGTTCCTTGTGGACAACAAGCACACGTGTGACCAACGTGTAGAAGCGTCAACCAAAACCATAAAATATCTAAATGGTCCGCAGGGAGGTTGAATCGGTCCACAAATGTCCCCTGAATCCGTTGTAGAAAAATGGGAGGATTCGAACGAATCTTGTCATAAGAAGGCTTAGTAATAAGCTTTCCCATAGAACATGTTTGACATGCAATTTCATGGATCGAACCTAAGCTTCGGGTTAGTGGATGCCCGTGTGAAGTTTTGAAGATACGGCGCATCGCTATTCATCCAGGATGTCCCAAACGATCATGCCAAAGTGTAATTTCGTGCGCGGTCCCTGTGGTAGGGCCGGCCACATAGTGGCATTCTATGGGGCGTATGGTCGTAGTATAGAGACCACTCGGGTTACGCTCCATCTTCTCTAGAATACGCTTCTGGCCATATTCGTAGGAAGTTACGCACAGAAATTCAACTCCCGTTTTCTACTACGTGGGTTTCAGCGTGGTAATTGTTATCTCTCTAATGTCCTTGAAACTTAGTAACGTTCTTCCGGAACGTGGAGAATAGAGTGCCTCAGCAATGGTCAAGATTGTACCATTGGACAACATTATACGTGCCTTACCGTATCCTTCGATCAGGATGGATGGGCCTGAGAGGGTTGTCAGAGGTGCATTCTTAGGTACGAAGTTAGTGAAATAGATGCGTTCACGCAAAACAGTATGCGTGGTTGCACTATCTGCCAGACAACTAACTTTCCCACTAGTCATACCTAGAATGAAAAATTAATTTGAATCGGTCACATGCATAAAAGTTTATAAAAACAAGTATCAATTCAAAATAATTTCATTTATTCAAGGAAAAAAAACTTAATATCCAAAATAAATCGCCAACTAATAATCCAAAACATAAAGGAAAATTGTTCAAAATCAGCCAAAAAACAAGGTGGGGTTCGGCCACTAGGTGGAATTCAGCCCCAAATGTCTTATTTTAACTGAAAAATAAGTCTATGTCTAAGATTCTAATCTTCCATAGGAGTGGTATCCTCCTGAAAATCAGAAACCTCCATCTTTGTAGTCTCCGGTTCGTCCACTTGCAGGAAGTTTGATTCAAACTTCGTACGACGAGAATGATATGCATCCACAACCTTCTTAGGAGCACGGCAAATACGGGACCAATGGTCCTTGGAACCACAACGATAACACATATCGTCATTCATTGTGGCAGGTGCTTTGCCCTTATTCTTGAAGTTCGGGGCCTTGGGAGCGAGGTTTGGGCGCTTCTGGGCTTTGTTTCCTCCCTTGGATGGGGCCTTGGCTCTGTTGACCTTGGTGGGATGGCTTCTGGCCGCCCTTACCACGCCTCTTTTGGCGTTTTGGGTGCTGATTAGTGCTATAATGTGCTTCAGGCACAGCAGTAGCCCCAGTAGGTCGAGCTTGATGATTCTTCATCAACAGCTGGTTCTGCTTTTTCAGCAAGAAGTAAAACAGAGATCAAATCCGAGAACTTAGTGAACTTCTGAGCTCTATATTGTTGCTGCAGGACAATATTAGAAGCAGAGAAGGTCGAGTAGGTCTTCTCCAGGAGATCCTCTTCAGTCAAAGTTTCATTGCAAAACTTGAGAAGTGATCGGATTCGACAAACTTCAGAATTATATTCATTCACAGACTTAAAGTCTTGGAAGCGCAAGTGCTGCCAGTCGTGTCTTGCTTCAGGCAAGAATATGTCCTTTTGGTGATCGAAACGATCAGCCAAAGGGACCCATAATGCACGTGGATCCTCCTCAGCAAGGTACTCAGTTTGTAGAGCGTCATGGATATGTCTTCGGATGAAGATCATAGCAGTGGCTTTTTCAGCTTCGCCAACAGGTTTATCTGTTGCTTCTTCAATAGCAGGACGCAAGTTCTTTGCAGTGAGGTGGAGCTTCACATCTTGAACCCACTTGAGGTAGTTCCTTCCAGAAACCTCCAAAGCGGTGAAGTCGAATTTGTTCAAATTCGACATGGTCCTATCAAAATAGATGGACAAGATGTGGTTAGTGTAATGGAGAAAAATCAATCCATTCACATAGGAGTAGAACATACAGGTTCTAATAGACATGTATTGGTTTAATTTTGCATGAAAAACTTCGGGTTTTCATGGGTGATATGTTTAAGTGAAAACTTCGGGTTTTCAAACAAGGCATGTGTATAAGAAACTTCGAGTTTCAAGGTAATTATGAACTTCAGGTTCATATATTCCTGCAGGCAAACACAAATATATATGCAAACAAATATGCAAAGAATATATGCAGAAATATTGTATAATGATAAGTGAATTAATTTATTTTTTGGTCTTCGGGGCCAAATTAAAGTGTGGGTGAAAATATAAAAACCCATATTATTTAAAAAAATTAAATAATAAAATCTCGGGGCCTAAAAATATAGGCCGAGGACCCTTGGGTGGGATTATAGGCCCACGGGGTGAGAAGAGGGGAATGGGCTGCTGTGTGCAGCCCTAAAATTTTTTTTTTTTTTTTTTTTTTTTTTTGTATTCAATTATATTATATGCATGTATAATTTTAATGAATCACATATTTACGTTGATGCATATGCAAATAATAGTTTCAATGCATGTACATATGTAGGATTCAATTCATGACAAATATCAAATTCACATAATTGTAGCAATTTTGATTATGAAGCATACACAATTTATGTAGAATCTAAAATACGTTAAACGTAAAGTTGGGTCATGCATCATGGTGAATGTTCATGCTATCAGGGCTTGCAAAATATCGAGTTAAAAGCCGTTGTTTAGAAAGAACCTGATTGCGTGATGATATAGATGAACTGGTTTGATGCAGAAAAATTATTTCTTCAATTTCGGCTTTCATCTTCAAGCTTGTATCACGTTCAACATAAGAAGAAAAATAAATTGAATCAATAACAATATATGAATTCAATAAAATCAAGATTTAATCAATTAAAAATAATTGAAACGTAATACTCCCCTGATTGTAGACGAATAAATTCTCTTTAAATTCTTCTAAGCACAGCGTGAAGAGCGTGCTGATAACGTGTTGTGGTCTATTTTATCTGACAGAGGGACTAGGGCCGGCGACAGAGAGAGAGAGGAGAGAGATGTGTGTTTGTAGAATTGTAGGGGAATGTGTGTGTTGTTATCCCTCCTACATTGTGCCTTTATTTATAGTAGTAAAGGGAGAGAAGATATTTCTTCTCCTCCAAGTAATACAAGTTGTAATAGGAAAGGATAACTAGAATCAAATCTTATCTAGGATTTACACAATCATACTTAAACTAGGAATGTTTACAACAATGGACTCATTGTAATGGTAAATTGGAATTCGAGTGTGCGAACTATAGGCTTTTCTCCGTTTTAAATGTGGTAAGGAAAGATTGAATCAACAAATCCGTAAATTTGTGACAATTCGAAATTGATTGTCAAATTGATACTATCACGGATCCAAACCAACAAATCCCTACATTTATATGTAAAATATTATTTTGGATAAATTTTGTATAAAATCAATAAAAAGTTACAATATTAACAATAGATCAACAATATTTATATTAATTATAAATAGGTCAATCATGTATTATAATACTTAAATGCCTTTAAAATAAACAATAATTACAAAATCTGTCACTACAGCTGTCACCCACTTGAAATGACACATTGTTTCTCATATATTAATATTTTGGAATATGTCAATATGAATTCAAACACTACAATGTAGTGTCTGTTTCTTGATTTTGTTTTTCACATTTGGATTCAGACGTTGCGTTGCAGTGTCCACTTCCTAGTTTTGTTTTTCCCATCATTCATCATGCGACTCTTGATTTTTTTACATTTGGATTCAAACACTACAATGCAGTGTTTGTTTCTTGGTTCAATTTTTATATTATTTTTACATTTGGAGATAGATTCATTTCCTGACTCAGTTTTTTTTTTTTTTTTTTTTTTGACATTTTGATTAAGACACAGCAATGCGGTAACCTTTTTTTGAATTTGTTTTTTATGCAGTATCTGATTTGGGCTTCAATTAAAACATGTCGAAAACCAATTTGTCTTTCGTTATCCATGGCTAATCCCATTGATCATTGTAAATGGAAAAGTGTGCAAATCCGAAAGGGAAGTCCTACTGCATTGTCACATTTGGATGTAAATGGAAAAGTGTGATTGTTTGTATGCTAACAAGCAACAAAGCGATAACTGTGTCCATATTCAAGTGTTACAAAAATCTAGTTACAAATAAACTAAAAATCAAAGTGAGTTGGGCATGCTTGAAAATGCAATCTCAGTTTCAAGCCCATCAAATTGGGCACCTCCCTAAATTCCTTTCAAATTTACTGTCAACGTCTGAAACATATAAAGCAGCACCAAAGTTTCCGTCAATTCGAAATGTGAGACCAATCCAATAATCCATACAACAAAAAGATGCATACCCAAATCAAAATCAATCAAAACACATTGGAAAATCATCGCAAACTAAACGGAAAACAAAACCCACCAGGAAGAAACTCACAGATTGAGCTATCAAAAAACGAAAACAAAGCCGACCCAGATGAGAAAAACCGAACCTTTTCAACAGGAAGAGTAAAACAAGCCGTGTCAACGGCGGCCACAAGGAGGAGGAGGAGGAGAGCGATCCTGAGCGCGAAACCCCAAGTGAACGCCGTGGAAAACCTCCGACCCCAAGACCTGCACTCCTCGTCGTCGTCGTCGTCGTTGTAAATAGGTTGCTTCAACGACAAGCGAGGCCTCAATCCCCAAGGGTTTGCCAGATTTGATTCGGCTCCAAAAGATGTGAGCTTCCTGCCTCTTTTTTTTCTGGGTACCCACTGTTTTTGTTTCCTTGCGTTCTTATCTTATCTGCCTGATTAGATTGAGAAATCTTCCGAGATTAATTGGGAATTTCAGATGATTAGGAAGGCACAGAAAGTCGTAGAAAAATTACTGATTAAGTAATTGTATAACTATTTATATGGGCTTGACACCATGTAACATTTCTTATTGACCTATATCTAATTAACAAAAATATTTCATTGATTAAGTTCAAAAATAAAATTGACCATTGATATATGATTCATTAGTAAAAATTTTATTGACCTTTTACTAAATTTCCTTATTATTTTTGTAAAATCATTAATTCCCCTTTACAATTTGTTTAGAATTAATTGTGTACATTAAACATTAAATGAGGGTATGTTAGGCATCTGAAAAATTTTAAATAGGTATAGTCAAACATAATTAATGAATTTGCTTATTTAGAGTCTCGTCAATGAGTTTTATTCGAGCAAAAAACGTATTTTGGGTTTTATATGGAAAAAATTGAATTTCAAGGGTTAAAGTTATATTTTCAGTTTTTCTTCTAATCACAAAAACAAATGTTCAAGTCCAAACATAAATCTCATTTAGACATATGAGCGGAGATGGATACCCTTTTTTAATTGGATTAGGAGATTGCATGCAGTCTAAGTTAGGGAAAATCATTCCTATTCAGTGTAGGATTAGTAAACATGAAACCAAAACCCTATATATATATTCATTCACCACATCAACAATTTCACCCACCACAATCTTTGCATCCTAATATTTGGTTTGAGCTTGGAACTTCTCACGAATCACGATGAACGTACACCGCCAGAAGAACGCACAACGGCAGAAGGGTTCGGGTGCGTCGATCGTGACGAGAGCAAGAGAGAATTCGGGTGCGTCGATTGTGCCGAGAGCAAGAGAGAAACGTCCGCCGCTAAGAGAGAGAGGTATACCTTATGATCAGATTGATGTCTCAGACATTGATTTTTTCATTTACTTGGCTCCGAAACCGGAAGAGATTGAGCTTTCCTCTCACTTGAATCGGTTGTCTTGGTCGAAGGGGTCCGATCGAGAGGCGGCGCTGGCCTCGTTAATCAAGCGATTAATTAAAAAGGATTTCATGGATGATTATGACTATCTGGAAGGAAATTTAATAACTTTTACATTTTTTCTACAGAGATGCTTTAATTTCCAGAAAAAGGATTCGGCTTCCCTCTTAGAGAAGCAGCTTTCGCTTCATACCATAGGCTTGCTGGCCCTGATCGTCGAGGGCGAGGATAAAATGTCCGAAATCTACGGACAGTTGCTTCCCCTGATTTCCATGTCTCTGGAATCGGGACATGAACCGGCGGTGAAGCTGCTGCAATGCTTGGCTGTTGTGAGTTTCTTTGGTGCAACTAACTCGGAGGAGACTGAAACTGCAATGCAGGTTGTTTGGAATTTTATCAGTGCTCCGGAATCTGCGAAAGAGCTTTTGCCAGAGGTTCTGGTTGCCGGAATATATGCTTGGATGTTTCTTCTTACAAGCATGGAGGGATGGCGGCTCAGCTACAACTACTGGAATGGGGCGATTTCTTACTTCTGTAATCTGTTAGAGCACGGCGATAAATCAGTATGTGTGGCGGCTACTGAAGCTCTAGCTTTGATATTTGAGACTGGTAGTTTGGACAAGTTCTGGAGATCTGAAGAAAAGGTTCCGAGCACGATCAAGTATTCGAATTTGCAAACAATTGCTGACAGGGAATGTTTTGACGAAACTCAAGTCTGTTTACCCAAACATGGGAGGTGATGTGAATGCTGCGAAGAAAGTCCGCCAAAATTATGATTTATTTTCAGAATTTTTGCTGCCCGGGAGCATCTGTAGCGGTCAATGGGATTGATCTGAAGTTATCGTCATGGTACCAGATGATTCAGTGGCAGTTTTTGAAGGGTTTTATAGCTGACGGGTTTGAACTACACATGAAGGAAAATGAGAAGCTGTGGAGGGTGTTCAATTTTGATCCATACGAAGTCGCCGAGGTTGGTGAAGAATTGTATGCGTCTACTACTGATAAGAGCAGGACCCGTTTCTTTTTTACCGAAAGAAAGAGATCCGTACTTGCTAACGAAGGAAGCTACAAAGAAGGAGAGGGTTTGGAGGAACTCTCATTTAGACAAGGCGAGAACGCAGTTGATGAACAAACAACGCCGTTTGTCGCAGGAACTGAACAGCTGGATCTAGTTCATGGCAGAGTTGTTAGCTTTAATTCTTGTTTGTTAGCATTTCAGAGATCATTTCTAGAGAAAGAATGTTAGCAGAGTCAATGTAAAAGTAGTTTAATTCAATAGTAATGCAAACATTTCTTTTTCTGACCATATGATTTATTCTCTCTAAAATTTGTGTAGCATAAGCAATAAATAGCAACATCGCTCTCGCTCTCTTATTGTGGTTTCCAGCCAAAAACCGGCTAAACAAATCAAACGCCTCTCGTGGTTTGTACTCTGGAACTGTATGTCCAGACCCCTGCACCAATACATTAAAACGAATGTATTAAAATCGCAACTGAATCCAATCAAAAGGACCAGCTAGTACAGTTTCAGTATAGCCTATCGTAGAAAGAAAAACATTTTCGTGCGCTGACCTTTACAGTTAGAAAGGTGAGGTTATTCTCGTAACCCTGTGTGTACCTGCGGCCATTTACAT